AATAATAATAATAATAATAATAATAATAATAATTCAACATTTATATAGCGCAAACTACTATATAGATAATCAGTCGCGCTTTACAATCAGTTAAGGTGAGATCGGACGTCAGAATTCATCAGGCGCAATATGCAGCCACTTCAGTCCATGTATTGATCTCACCTTCCCTGCCCAATTCACCCTAGATTAGACACTACACAAAGATAGACCACAACACCGGGCACTACGTGCCCTACTCTTTCCGAAGAGTGTGTGGGTTCTCTAACGTCCCACAATTTTTATCACATATAAGGGCTTGTGAGACGGGACCTCCATTTATCGTCCCTATCCAAGAAGACTAGAAAGTCTAACCATTTGCAGATATTATTACAAAGACAGCACTTTCTTCTCAGTTATTTAAAGACCCTGAGTGTTGGTCCAGCCGGAAATAGTTTCTATAGTAAGTATTGTACATAGTTAAATCGCAACTTAATGTTCTTAATATATTATTTTGTATCTTTATATAGATGTTTAACTAGATGATTATTTTGGAAACACCCTCAATAGGGCTAACCTCTGGTGTCTCCCTTTTTTTCAAATTATTTATTTTTTGTGATTTGATTTAATTATTAAATATTATTATCATTATTATTATTATTATTATTATCATTATTCGTGACTAAATGAAAAACACCCTTCTCTATTTCTCTACCACACTCAAACCTTACCATCTTTCCTAAAATTTTTACAAAAATATAAAAGTTTCTCACGAAGAAATAAAAATATTAAAATTAATGTAAAGCTTACCTTTTGGAACATTATGCATGTAGCTTTCATTCATTACATCTAAATAAACAGGCTGTAATAAAAACAAAAGCAATGAACATTGCTGATTTCTCATTCTCATATATACTCAGAAGATAAAAAAAAACTGTTTGACCACCATGAGTGACTAGCATCTAATTTCTCCTTACAATATCACCCCTGCATTAAACATTGAGGTCAGGAGAATAAATGAAATAATCAAAAACTGTAAAAGCTCTTGATTGTTAAACAAATTCTCCTTGTCAGCACCTTCAGAAATGGATAGAGAACAGTACGGAGAATATGCATACTGATGTTAGGGTGTAAATTAAAGGTTATTTAAAATTAACCTACTTTAGTACCTTGAACTCCTTTGTTAGCTTTTCAGTAATTGTTTGCTGGACTGACATCATAGCCTGATTGGAGAAATCGTTATACAAAAGAGGGTTGGTATAATCTAATAAAAGAAATCTGACCTTGATTGTTCAAAGGTTAGATAACCCTATCCACTAGATAACTTTCTATCCAGAGGATAGTGTAGTGCATTTTTCTATATCACTTGTCCGCTGGAGAGCAATTTGTCCACTGGATGGGATTATTTGCCCTTTATCCAACTGAACCCTGAGGATTCTACTACAAATTAGCAAACAAAACTGATAATATCATTTGTAAAAAAATATACTAGTTTTAGCAGCAAGAGTTTATAAGAGACTTTGGAAAGAAGTGACTACAATATCATTGTAAGAACCCAACCATACTTAAAACTAGCCACACATAATGTCACTGTACAGCACCCCTATCCAGACCCACCCCATCTAAGTCTGCCCACAGCTGACCATGATAGACCAATCTGTTCTGAGAGAATAATTACTCAACCCAGTTCAAATCATGTGTACCTGAGAAGCAGTTGAAAACACTTTTGTATGTCTTTGCTGTACAGTGGCTCGAAATATCCCAGTCAGATTACCTGAAAATGGAAGGAAAATATTCATATGTCAAGTTAGGGAACTGCTTACTTCATCAAGATCTCAGTCACTGCTCCATCACCCTCTCCCTCTCCTAAAACAAAGACTTCCTACCCCTCCCCCCCCCCACCCTATGGTTGTGGATACTGCCCTACAAGTGCAGGATTTTTAGTCTGCTCTGGATCATTATATAATCAAACGTTTTCACAACCAAACTTGATCATAACATTACAAGAAAATCAACAAAAAGAAGGGGTTCTTTTTCTTCACATAATTTTGAATTTGACTGAAAAGTGCTTCTAAAAAGTAAAAAAATTTACATTGTAAATTCAAACGTTGTGCTCAGCTGTTAATTACAACTGTCTAGAACTATTAAAAAACCCGCGAACGGAAAAGCCAAATCGAACTAAGATTAAATGTCTCAAATACTATCTGTATTTTAAGATGAATACCTCTGAACATGGATAAATAATGCTCTGTCGAAACACTTAAAGATGGTTTCTTCCTCTGCACAGAATTTTTAATTATTTGGATCGTGTAGCCTTACGGCAAGCAAATTTGCAAAGCAATATGGGTATTTTCAAGTGGCACAGACATCCCAATAAGACCTTGCATCGCTACGGTTGCCAAGTGCACTGATGAAGAGAAAAGAAGTTTCTCGCAATAAAGAGGGACATATTCAAACAGTTTATGTAGTAATGGTAAATATGGTCGTAAAGATATCCCACTGCGTCCGAATCAAAATTGTAGAGCACGGGCGAGGTTGACATTTAAAAAATTGTCCCAGTTTTCTCTCCGGAGGGGTGAGGAGTGCGGGGGAAGAACCGCGTGTATTAGTAGGAGTCAAAGTGAACCCACCTCTTCCCCGGGGATAATATTTTTTATGACGTTTTTCTGTTCCAATCAACATTACACCTTAGAGAAGATAAACCTTCATCAGTGGTAACTGGATTTTATTTTTTAATTTTGAACAGCTATTTTCAAGTGCGAACTCTCTTAGAGACTTCTGTTTTATAAAGATTTCTTAGCCAAGCGTGTAATGTATTCAGCGCCTTCATTCATGATCAGAAATGAATAAACATCCTTTATTTGAGCTCGTAATGAGGGCCCAAGTAATCACGAATTACAAAAAGATGGATGGATAACTAGAAGCAGACGCACCAAATGTTAGACGTTTCTTACAAGTTTTTAGTAACCTAGTAGTATAGCGAATCTTTGAGTGTCTTCACCTACGGCCTGCAGTACGTTTTGACGCACTATAGCGAGGCCTTTAGATGCTGGCACTGGGTATGGAAAACTCCGAAAGACTTGAAACAGACCATGAAAAAACAGAATTTGTTCAACGGAGAGGCTCGATGGAAGCCTCTGAATCTTGCGATCACAAGGAAGACGTCGAAAATCAGCATTCTGAGAAAATCAAAGAGCTTCGTTCTAAAATTGATGTAAACATGGATAATAATGTTCTGAGACAAGTTGGACGTGTTGACGATGCTTTTCTGTTGATGTTTCTGAGAGCGCGCCGCTACATCGTGGACGAATCATTCAAACTTCTGTCCAATTACATTGAATTCCGCCAAAATAACGCATCTTTGATGGAAAATCTGTCAGCTTGGGAATTACACCACGTGTTAGAAGACGGCCTTCCGTGTGTTTTGCCATACACTGATCAAAATGGTGCTAAAATTATAGTTATCTTCGCCGGCAGTTGGGATAAAGATACTTACGGCACACTAGAAATTTTAAAGGCATTCATTTTAACCATGGAACGCTTGATAAAGACTGACGAGGCACAACTAAATGGAATTAAAATAATTGCAGATTTTTCAGGCTGGACTGCTTCTCATACATCCAGTCTGTCCTTATCTTTTATTCGTCAAGTTTTCGCCATGTTCCAGGTATGTCAAGAGAAATTTAAAAGTCTTAAACAAATGAATAAAAGAGGGAAAGTTTCTAAAGAAATTGTGGTACTGCGTCGGCGGAAGGGAGGATGGTATTTCCGGTGAGACAGTTTAGTTTTATCGACTGTCGAGTTGATAATCCAAATTAACCACCGTCAGTAGTTTCCAAAGCTGACGTTTATAGCGTTAGCCCTTCGCCGGGAGCGAATAGGACCGGTTTTCCTTGGCTCTATAAAAATTACAGCTTTGGTTCCGTGGTCCAATGAAACCCTCTCGTGCTAAGAGTCAGTCACGATATGGTTGGGTAGTTTGCAGGGTTAATTATGGCGATATTGTGAGAATATTTCACGAACTAACTAATTCATACTGAAAAGTTATCTTTTTGGTCGTCAAATGTAGATATTAAACCAAACCTTTTTAGTGAAC